TTAGCAGTCGCACTGAGTCACATTATTGGCTCCTATCATGATTCACTGCACCTCCTGCCTAATGAGTTCTCCTGGTTGTGTTAGTGCATTTGCTCGCAGTTCTCCACTCATCGTGCACATGTCTAATCTGAATTTTGTCCTGTTATTTTGAAGTTCTGGTTTGTTAGGAACACTTTGAATTTTAATGCCTTCTTCCTGAGTACATCTCCACCCACTCTAGTAACTTTCCCAAGTTTCTCATGTGTCGTTGATGCCGCTGACAGTGGTTTTAATGGACTCCTGAACACACTGGGCAGCACACAGCACAGCCCCCGTACTGTCCCACTGGACACAGCTTGCTAATAGGGCAACCAGACACTGATCACTGTGGCTCCATTAGGATTTTCCAGCTGATTGTGCATCCTGCTTATGGTCATTCCCTGCAGAGAAAACTTTCTCTGGCTCCATTTAAGAATGCCCTCTGTGACAGACCAAATAGCTTTAACCTAGTTAAGATGTGTCACTCTGACTGCTCCATCCTAGCCACCAGGCCAGTTATCTTGTCAAGGAAGGAAATTAGATTGCTTTGACGTGATCTGTTCTTGACAAGTTCGTGTGGGCTATTTCTCATGGGTTTTTGTGCTCTAAGAGCTTACAGATTGATTTTCTTCCTGGGTCTGCAGGAGCATTACAATTAATGTCCTTGTATTTAACACAGGGAGTCCTTCCCATTTACACCTCCTAAAATACTGCGCTTGTCTTTATCCAGTAATTGAGCGTCTCCCCATCTATGCGCCGCGATGCTTACAAAACAGAACTTTACAGAGTTGGCACAAATGGAAAACTAATTACGTGTCTATTCTCATGAGCTTCTCATCTGAATACTGCAGCTATTAGAGGATTAATTAGCTTGAACAAACGTTAGATGTTTACAGCTAACAGATATTTCAGCTTTACATCATGCACAATACTATTATGCTAAACTTGGTGTGATTTTTGTCCACAAATTTCAGCAACAACTAATCCTTGGTACAATACGGCTAGTTTCCAGGAAACCTTTTGCTGGTTTTGCACCAACAAATTAACTGCCCTGCTTCAAATAGACACTTGAGCCCTTTCAACAACTCCTGAAAGTAGCAGGCCTGCAATCCACCTTAGCAGCAGTTGCTCAAATATGTCTGCATATCTTTAACAAAAGCAGTTAACGGCCAAAACTGGCACTGATCCATTTGCACTCCTCCAACCTAAAGAAACGGAAAAAATAGAGCAAACCAGGGGTGTAACTGAAGTGTCAAAATCCAGGGGGATCCCCCTTTTCCATAGTTGCATCGTATAGGCAAAGCATTTGTTGCTGTATCTGACATCCTTTTGCAGATCTTTACAAAATATGTGTGTAACCATTTAAAATTTCCTTGATGTCAAAGAGATTATTCACGAGCTTAGCATTAAGCATACTTCCAAGAAGTTACACGACTGCAAGTATTGCTTCCAGCAAATCTCTCTTTTTTTTTTTTTTTTTTTTTTTTTCTGAGCATTATCACAAATTTAACTGATGGCATTTGAGAAAGAAAACTTCTCTGACTCTCTTTGCTACCCACTCATGGTTTCCTGTTTCTTGGGCTGGTACGCCTTCTTCTTGCTTGCCGTTACACTCACCCACAGTCTTTAACCCTCAAAATCTCAGTGTCCATCTATCTCAGGGCTACAGGTTATGACAAAAGATCCTTTGGCTGCATTAGTTCTAGTAAAACTATTAAGGTATTCTCTGGATGTAAACTGGTTGGGTTATGTTTGCAGAAAAAAAAATCATGTGTCATTTAGTGTCAACTCTATTTTAGAATTGAATTTGTAGAGGGTAGCCATCAGCTGTCTTCCTAGCACCTTACAAGCCAGCTGTGAAAAACCCTGTCCTGAATACAGACAAGTACAATTAATCATTGAGATTGTGTATTTTTAAGGAGTCCTTGTCAGCCAAGGAGACATGATCTCTTGTTTCCAGAGGGGAAGCTGTTTATGTTGAATATTGAAGCATAAGCACTTAGTCACATGGTCTGAACTTGGGTAGACCTGTGCGGTGTCAAGAGTTGGACTTGATGATCCTTAAGGGTCCCTTCCAACTCAGGATATTCTATGATTCTATGATTCTATGATAACAGCAAAGCATCTGATTCAGAAAAAATGAGCAAGTAATTCTAATCTTTCATCTCTTGGGTTTAGATTTGGATCTCCTTTTGAAGCTGGTAGGGGGATTTCTATTGATATCAAGGGAAACTTCATCAGGTGTCTCATGAACAGATCCTGTTAATAGTCACAAATTTAGCAGGATTGTTGTGCGCTGAATAAAGTTCACGTAAACGCCATCAGCCTATGCTAAGTGGGGTAATCCTTGGCCTGTTTGTGTGATTTAAACACAGACAATCTCTGTTCTGTTATAAGGGTTTTTCCATGTAGGGATAATGACCAGAGCCATTAACAACAGACGTGTGATGACTTGTTTGCAGAGATTTTATAACATCATTCCAAAATCTAGAGAGCAGAGGAAGCTTTCTAGGGTACTAATACATTTTTAGTGTTAACAGGAAAAAAATGGATCATTAATTGGAGTACTCTGAAAATAATGATGAGCTTGCTAGGAACCAAAAATACCACTGTGCGTTATTCCCCACCATGTTTATGGATGAGTACTTCACCATACGTACTATGCAAGGTAGGGGAGCCTGTGGAAGCTGGCAGAGATACTACATAAAATACTGTGCATAAAGAGAGGTATTTTGTGCTTGGTGTTGCAAATAAGCTTGTGTCTTTCAGAGATTGCAAATTCCCACTCTAACCTTTTGGAGCATTGCTTTAGTTCACACTTAATCAATTCTAAGTATAACTTTCCATATGTTCAGATCTAGATTTATTTCTTTATGTGATAAAGCTTTTTGTAATTATACAGTTAAATGTCTCTCCTTTTTTGTCAGCTTAGAAAAGAAGCGTTATTTCTTTGGAGATAGTTGCAATCTAATTTGACTGCATTTATTTCAATGTTCTTCTCCATGGAAATTGCCATTATATTTTATTTCAGAAAAGTTTATTTGACAGTTTGGAATTTTTAGCTTGCTAAATCAACTGTAAACCTTAATCACTGTGTGCTGTAGTAATGATGATCTTTAAAGGTAAAAGCAATTAGCTCATAAACAGATTTTTAATTTATTTTTCAATTAACTCTTTGATTTGGCTCACCATGATTTCTTGATTTATTTATCAATCATTTTTCATGATTTATTTATTTATGGTACAAAGCCATGATAATATTTTTCTTGGTCACCTTTGGCAATTCTGATGCTTTGGAATTGTAAATAATGTGCTGAGGAAATCAAAAGGAAGAAGTCATTGATGAGATTGTTCATACTTCAGAAAGCAGGAGGTGGCATGAATATATTAATTCTCTCACTTAGATCCCTATTCGCAAACACATCTTAAGCATTGCCGTCCATTGGGTTTATAACTATACAGTTCTGACCTGGGATACCAGGTTTATCCAAACTAGTATGAAGGTGGCCAGTTCATCTTAACAGATGGTAAGGGTACCGTGACAACTTAGCGCTCTGGGATCTGAGAGTTAGAAAGGACTTTGAAGAGGCGTGCTGTTGTTAAAGTACTGCCATTGCTGTTGAGCAAAATGTGCAAGGTTTTGGTTCTTTTTGCTTCTTTAATACTCTGTTAGAACTTGTGGCAGAATAATAATTCAAAATAACACTGCTGTGAACTATAAAGTAGTGCCTCCATGCCAATAGCACCAGCTAGTATTGTCTTACTCCTGGTCTTTTCCAGTCAAGCAGAGACTGACTGGCCCCTTGAATACAGAAGATTAATTATTGTTAGTAATAGGTTGGTGTAACAGCCTTGCTTGTTCTGTGAAAATTGTATGGATATTGATTTGCGTATATATATGCATATGTACTTGCGTTATTTAATTTAAAAAATAGTGTTTTTATTTTTTGTTTGTTTGTTTGTTTTAGTCTGTGTAGTGCTTGCAATAATCTCATTTAGATTACTTAATTGTACTTCAGTGGTTTTGCATGTGAGATGCTGGTGGTGATTAGGATGTGTGTGGGGGGAAGAGAGGCTGCAATAGCTACTGAAAATATAACTTGAGATGAGCATACCAGCAGCTGTGGAAATATCTAGCAGTAAGTTAATTCTCTAGGACTAGGCACAGCTCGAGCACTAGAAATATCCCACAGCCTGTGGTTGACTTGCTCTTTGCCAGCTCTTTGCCAGCAGCCCCATGGCTGTGCTTCGGGAGGACAGGCTACACACCTGTCCGTCAAGCTCAGTGGTGGTGCAGGCTGGGGAGAACAAAGAGGTACATAGCAGGGCAGGATAAGAGCGGTCTCTGAAGCTGATCTTATTTGCCTTTTGAGGACTGTTATGCTGTGGGGCTGTAGTGGTCTCTGACTGTAAGGTTTCTGTCACATAGATATGACGTTGAATACATGTAACCATTTTTCTCTGCTAGACACTACAATGCAAATGATCAAGCAATGATTTTCCAAATGGTACAGAGAAAAACATCTGGATCCAGAATTCGAGCTGCAGCTTATTGTATTTCTCTTGAAGGAATGTTAATTTTCTTATTATTCCTGTGTCTGCCTTTGGTGGATGTTTACCAAGTGGCTCTTGTTTGTTGCTGTTTCCCTGGTCTTCTAACCCAAAGTCCAAACCCTGTGCCTTTAGCATATATCCTACTATAGAGACTCAGTCACTTTGCTTTGCTCTTCTGTGTATTTCATTAGGAAAGCTTAAAAACAAACATAACAACCCACAAACCAACGCATACTTTTAGCTTGCAATGTATCAAGAACAAGTGCTCTGAGAGCATTTTGGTTCTGTAAAACATATTGCTACCATACCTATTTTGATGTTTTGTAACAAGCAATGAATGGTAGATGTTGCTTAAAATGCTTTGAGCTGCTCTTGATAACTGTCCCAAGGAATAAAAGGAGTGAAAGCATTCTCATTTATTTTTACAGTTCCTGTTCTGGGGAATGCCAAGGGAGAAACCCTCACTGCTGAGTTGCCTGCACACCTAACAGGCCTCCGGTTAGAGCTGCTTCACAAGGTAAGTGCGCTTCCCACTCTTCTTCTGCACCTGATGCCGTGGGGTGGGCAGGAGGAGTAAGGAAGAATAGCCCTGTGTTCAGCCTGCCAAGAGGGAGGATGAGCCCTGGGGCACAGCTTGCAGCAGTTACAACTCAGATGCCTGACCTGGAATATCTGCATGATTTTTCAGATCTATTCAGTGTTCATTGTCGTCACTCAATATTGCGAGAAAGTTGTCTGATTTTTGATCATTTGGTTAGCTTCCTACAGACTTTGTATATTGACATGGATGGGTGAAAACTGTGATCTGTGCTGGGAACTGATGTGGAAAGAAGGGACAAAATACACAGCGGGAAAGTAGTGGGATTTAGTGATGTATCTCAAATCCCCGCTTGCCTGAGAGTTTGGTACAGTCCCTATATGTGTAAATCTTGATGTGACTTTTGGTGCAATAAGAATGCAGTCTGGAAATGTAGGCAAAAAATATTGGTATTTCCAGTTCTATCCTAATGTTCCATTCAGTTTTTAATCCTCAACATTTTTGTCTAGATGCTCCCAGTTATATCAGTGCATTTCACAGATATGCACAATAATTTTAGGGGATTATTGGCTTGCTTTTCCAGCTCCCTTTCTCACTTGTTAACTGTCTCTGCAAAGATATTTTATTTGGAAACTTATGAAAGTAAAATATCCGACTTTGCTGTTACTGAAGTCTGATTTTTGGCTGCCTAGTAGAGTTGGCTGTAGTATGAAGCATATTTTTCCTTCAGCTCAGACTGATGAATTAGGCATTATAGCTTAGTAAATTAAAAGAAGCTAAGAAATGCAGTTTGATTCAAACTAATGCAACTATTTTCAAATAAAAAAAAATCTGGCTGCCATTTTGCACTTAAAACAAGAAAATATTAGATTGTTTACCAGTAAGGCAGTTTTACTTTCTGGGTTGGAAAGCCTATTTGCTGTCTGACATTGATTTCTATGTGCCTTTTCTGTCTGAGGAGACTGGGTTTGGGAGTAATGGGTTCAGTCGTCCATGGGTGGAGAGGTGTCCCTATCATCACGGGCAGGAGGAGACCTTTGCTCATAGTCTCGGCAGAGAGGCCACAAGTAACGCTGCGTAGACCCAGAATATCCCCTGCCAACTTAGAGGTGATCCTTTCAGGCCAGTGGGAGGGCAGCATGTGTAAGGGAAATGTGCCCTTGGGATGCCTGTGCTGCGTCTGTCATTCAGATAAACAGGCTGCTTTACTCCCAGGAGCCATCAGTTTGTCGTTCTCTACGCATATTAAAATTCATCTTGAAATACAACAACAAATATTCTTATCAGCTCTGGAAAATTCCACAGGTGTGAAAGAGAGAGAAGTGCAAGAACATTTGATATGTTCTGTTCTTATTAAAAGATGTCATAGAACCACTTCTGATAATTTTATGTAATGCCTTTACAAATGAAAATTTGTAGCTAATGCAAAATAAACACTGACAGGGAACCTCACAGTGATTTTTGGTGTTCCTTGCTTCACAAAGGCATTCTACAAGCTCGTCTAAAAGGATTTTGTACAGAGCTGATAAGAATGTATTCTGTAAATGCTCTCCTACTGAAAACAACATTATAGTTAGGTTTTATTAATTAAGAATTTCCCATAAACAACACTATCTGTGGTTTTAATACTGAGACCTGTGAGGGGAGCCATAAAACTAGTTACATGATGACATTGTGGATAGTTTAACCCCCTTTTGTCTGGAGCTTTTAGAGGCAGCGTAGCTGGATGATAATGCCAATTATTATAAATGGTTTGCAATTTGAAGGAGCTGTGTTTTGCCAAGTTGTGTGAGTATGTAGTGAAAACATAATGCACTAGTTCAACCGAGTGCTGCTCTGTGTATAATTTTAGCCTGGCAAATCATTATATTGTGCTAAAAGCTTGCTACAACCTTACTGTTGTAAAGCTTTAACAGTGACTGTAGGCCTCCACCTCCATTAAGTCAAATGCCATTATAAATGCATCTCTAATGACATGTGTTTTGCTGTGGACCAGGAAATGCTTTCCCCCCACCAAGCATTTCATTTTGACATGGAGGGCAGTCCACAGTAAATAAAAGTTATTTGAATTAGTACAACATGGGAGATGCTCAAAAATCTGTAACAGAGTCTTCCCTGTTACTCCCAACACCACTGCTTTGCCTGGAAACCTTACGGATTCATTCACTGAACTCAGAACCATCTGGCAGTGATAAAGCATACCACATACCCTGCAACTTGCACACAAAGCAGTAATTGGAAATGAGAGATAATGCGGAAGTCATAAATCTCAAAAGCAACACCATCAGCTGAACATCTACATAAAATTACTGACTGCATCTGTGTTTCAGCTTTCTGTTGTTTTCTGTCATATAATTTGTTCTTTTGAAAATAAATGAAAAATGGAGAGGTGTAAAATAGGTGTTAGACCTAATACTGTGTGTGTAAATACATAAAAGCCGAATGAAAACAGGTGCTCACAGAAACTTTCTCTTTGCAAAGTGATCTATCTAAAAATAGCTGCAGCAGAGTACAATAAGTACAATAACACATGGAGCTTGATGCTTCACTTGTGATAACTTCATAGTCAAGAGAACCGCTTGTGACGCGTGCAGCTGTAACTCTTAGTGTCAGGGCGTATTGGAAAACCGCTTCAACCAGCCACAGGAGGCAGCACATCGACAGCGAACTGCTGAAGGTCATGCACTGCTCCTGGTAATGGATGCTCTCAGGTAGATCAAACGGTAGCTATTCCTGGCGCACTTACTCCTCTCAGAGCTTCATTAAATCATTGCAAAAGTGTTTTCCTGCAAAATATGGGATGCCATCCATTCATTCACTGCAAGGGGAAAAGGTCTATTTCAGGTAGGCATGAGAGGCACTGATAGCCAATTTACCAGCACCGCTTGGGGGACCTGCATAGGAAATGAGGACCGGTTCAAAATGTCAAGATATTTTAAAGTACCAAAGGAACAAATAGTTCATTTAGAAGCTGAAGCAGGAAACATGGGTTAGCAGCCAGAAGCAAGCACTCTGCTTCTCCAGTTGCCCAAATCCTTATAGAAGTTGGACATCGAGGATCGAGGATCACGGAAATACTGGGCAATAATTTGGCTGAGGTGACCACCTCATGGCACAAAAACGTTATGGCTATAGGCAATGTATTAGTTATAATAGGATTGGGTTTTTATGGCTCTGAAATGCAGCATAGCATAAGGCAGTCCTAGGAAACACACCTGCTGGGAAACCAGCAACTTACATGCAGCCTGTTTGGCATCTGCTGCTGTTCTGTACTTTGAGATAATCAGGAATTTAGAAAAAGGCTAATTTTTCCTGCAAGCCAGATTAACCTAATAAACTAGCTCCTCTTTGGTTTAAAATCTTTAGCTGACTGGTTTTGTTCAAGATAAGGAGTAAAATTTAAGCCATATAAAAAGGCAAATATGTTAGCCATAGTGCTTGACTGTCTTATTTCTGAAATACTTTAAATTATGTAGATTATTTAGTCATCAAGAAAGCAAACCAACCAAAAACCACATTAAGGTCTCCATGTTACGGCAAAGTTTCATTAGGACTTGAGCCTCATTACTCTCTTCCTAATAACCTCAGCTAAAGCTGTGCTCTAGGTACTCTAATTTATTCTTGAAAATGATTTTTTTCCTGCATCTAAAAATAGAATAATAGAAAGGAAGGCTTCTTTCTCCCCAGGAGTTTACCTACTGCAATACTATACACTGAGGAAGATCAGATTTATCTGCAAATTTCCTGGTGGATATTTTTGGAACTATTTTCAAATACTAAGAAAGTACTGTATTAAGAAAGGTTGTTGAACATTTTCATTTAACTCAGGGCTGCTTTTTTGTTTTGTTTTGTTTTGTTTTGTTTTTTTTCAAGGAGCCTCTTCCCATTGCTCACTCTTCTTCCCCCTTTATAATGTCCAGTGGTGAGTTCATTTCTGTATTGTGCAAAGCTTGCACTCTGTTGTCTGACCAAGACTTTGTGAATACCTGTCGTGATTGAGTGATACAGTAAGTCAACAGTTTCACAATATTTAACCCCAGTGCTTCTTGCTGCAAATTCTTCACAGCCTCCTTTTTCTTCCCTTTCCCAACCCCCAGTGTGCATGGTCACTGAGAACAATTAATACTGTAGATTGCATGGAAATTTTTTACTTATTGGAAAATGAGGATCAGTGCTCTTTAAACAAAATAATCAAGCTGCATTTCTTAAAACATTGTTTCATTTCTGCTTGCCTGTTCTGGGCACCTCACATTGTCTACATCCTTTCCGATGGGAAGAACTTCAGTTGAGCCCAGTATCCCATTTGAACATACTAAAAAGAAAGGCATAATTACCTCTCCTATCTTGCGTACAGCATATAATATTCCTTTTATTACCTCCCAGAATGGCTTTTTTTTTTTTTTTTTTTTTTTTTTTGTGCAGTGTTATATAACTGACTCAACTGTGATTCATATTAGCACTGATATTTTTCAGCAGTGCTGCTGTGTAGGCTGACAACTCTGCAAATCTTAATTCTCTACATTTTAAAAATGGATGCTACATTCTGTCCTTTAATCCAATTAATCACATTTACTTAGCACTCTCCACAACCCAAATTTGCAGATCTCAGTAACTTCTTTGTCCACTCCTTTGAGAATTGTAGGATAAATAACTTCAAGTCTTCCTGGCTTCAGTCTTATCTATGTCTTCAGGATAGACTCTGAGTCACATTTTTTTCTGTGTTAGTTTTGCTCTTGACCCCTTGTTAAGTTGGCCACAGTAAACCTTTTTCAGCACTTGTATAGTGATTACTTTAGTTTTTTAAAGAAGCCATCAGTTTTATGACTGCCCAGCAGTAATAATCCCCTTAACAGAAACAGTGTTTGTTAAAGCAGCCCCCAGGGCACAAACATCACTCATAACACTGTATTCCGCAAAGTTATTTTTGGAGAGGGCTTTTCAAGCTCTGTGTTATTGCTCTAGACAGTGCTAGTTACTGG